CTGCGCGGCAAGAACTCGACTGACCAGATCGGTGGCCACGGGATCCTTGACGAGAACCAAGCGGGGCACTGGGGGCAAACCACGAGCATGCTTCCTGGGATGCCCAGAGTCCTCGAGCCCCTCTGAAAGACGCGCAATCCAGGAGCCCCAGACATGCAAGACTTTGCATCGGGCCTGAAGCTGTGCGACGGCAGCCTCTGAGACCCTGGCAAAGGAAGCAGCGCTCTTGGCAGCCTCGTCTGCCTTGGCACTGCCGTATCGGTGACGCGCAGAGGTGCCGCGCCCTGCCTGCACATCAACCTGGGTCGCATGACCCTTGATTTTGCTGATCTCAATCCCCCCGCCCCAGTCATCCACCAGCCTCCAGAACTCCTTCCAGAGATGAGCGTGCGCAGAAACACAGGCACGGGTAGCCTCTGGGCCACGCACATGGAAACCGTCAGCCACAAAGGCAGAATCCGTGTAAATACGCACAGGCGGAGTCGCGAAGCGCAGAACATTGATGACGGCATCAAGCTCGGCAGCATTGATGCACTGCAGTGGGTCCAAGAGCGGTCCTGAACAAAACGAGACAACTTCCTGACGGTCGCTCCCAGCCCGCACTGGCCAGACTGGGATACTGAGCCTCGAAAACAGAACCGTCGGTGCAAATATCTCCCGTGAACTCCGAGGGCCCTCCAAGCCCCCAACAAATCGGAGACCCAGGAGGACGGCGGCCCAGAGAAGGGAATGGCACAAGACAGCGCTCGGCGAAAAGCGACGCCAGCACTGAAGTAGTGGCCGCAGCCTCTGCTGCAGCTAAAAAGCTGGGCTTGTCCTCGAAACTGTCTAAGCGAGAACAAGACCAGTGCCCATGCAGCAGGGTCCCCTCCTGCGTGGGACAGAGCAGACATGAGGGAGTCGTGCCATAACCCGCGGCCCACTGCCTCTTCTGTGGCCACTGCCCACCGATGACCGTGCTGCGGAGGTGGCCCTGCTGCTGGGCCGACAACTTACTCTTGCTGCCAAGGAGGGCCTTCAGGGGTCCCAAGATCAGCACGTTGGCGAAGTCCTCAACCTCGAGATGTTCCGCGACCTTACGATACTGCCACGCCTCCACAGCACGGAACACGAGCTCCTGAACAGTGACGGGGTAGTATCACATCGGGTTGACGTCGGCCCCACCAGGCCAGATCCAGGACGTGGAAGAAGTAGCAGCGATACCCACGCGCCTGAGCGAGGCCCACAGGGCGCAAAAGGGGCCCCTAATGGAGGACCAAGGGTGCTCCAGCCCCGAAAGGTGCCTGTGGGCCCCGCGGAGCCCGAAATCCAAAGCCTCATGGGGCAACCAACGATGCCAGAGCGCATGGAGGTAGAACTTCACGGGCAACCAAGTGGCTCTAAAGATGGGGTCCAATCGGGGCACAGGGGAGAGAAGAAGGCTCAAAGTCCGAGGCTTGCCATCCTGACGGTGGTCCTGCAGCTTACCAGCCGCACCTCGAAGAACCTCCAACTCCTGCCCATTGGTACCCATGACGGACGCACCGAGAAGGACCGAAGACTCCAGAGCAGCTCGAGCCATGCGCCCGAGCACGCGGCGACGAGGCTTGGTGCCCTTGAGGAAACCAATCGGGCCAACCTAGGCCTCATGCAAGCGACGCGCCCACGGACCGTGCCTCGACTAGCAACCTTGCCCGAGCCGTAGTCCACGCCGAGATTACGCTCAGACCTGACGGGCAGGGGCTGGGGGCTCTTCAACTTGGCTGCAATGGAAGCGCGAACCGTAGGGAAATTGCTCAAGACGCGAGACTTGTCGAGAGCGAACTTTAAGTCGACCTGGCGCAGCTGCTGCAACAAGTGCTGGCCTGCAGCGGTGATGTCACCGACCACGCGGGACTCTGCGCCCCAGCGCATGAGGCCAACATCGTCAACGTTGACGGACAGCTGCACAGCAGGGCAGGCGGCCTGCACGGCGTCCAAAGGGCCTAAGATAATCAACTGCAGCATACAAGTGGCAAAAGTACATCCAGGCACAATCGTTTGCTCAACACAAAGCAAAGGCCCAACGGCACCCCCCAACATCGAGAATGCGCGGAGCGCGATAGATTTGGACCAAGAGATACACTTGCAACAAAGGAAAGCTAGTGGCCGCCGCAGCGGCCAGCAAATGATGATGCTGAACCAACTCGAACGCCTTCTTTAAATCGAGCAACATAGTGGCGCACGCACGATCCTTGTAGGTGGAATGCTCCGACCAGGCCGCCTGGATCCAAACGCTTTTTTTTCAGAAGCCTTACCATGGGTGCCCCAAAAGAAAGCCCTGAAGTTGGCGGCCTGCCACTTCCTGGTGAGAGGGCGTCTCAGGCGACACTGGGCCCCAGCCAACGCGTGCAAGAACCCCGACGGCCTGACACCACCCGTCCTCTTAAGAATGATCACGATGCGATTCCACATGCTGGGCCACTCTCGCTTATGCTCAATGTGGTGCACCATATCACACAGAGCCTCGAGAGCAGCAGGCGGCAACAGCAGAAGAGAGCGAGGGGAGATCTGATCAAACCCCGTGCCCGTCGAGGGCTTGAAAGACTTGAGAGCTCGCACGAGCTCGGCCACAGTGGGCCGCGGAGGGGGGTCCCCGAGCTCAGGCCAATTGAGGGGCTGGTGCTCAACTCCGACTTGCCACCAACGCTTCCACTCGTCTTCGAGAGCTTCGGTCGACTCGAGCGACGTGCAGGGTCGAAGGGTGCCATGACAAAGGGGGGCAGGCTGCAAGGGAGTGGGGAGGGCCGAAAACTTGTACAAAGCGGACATGCCCCCAGACGAATGCTTGTCAACCCAATTCCCCCATTCACGTTCCTTGGCCTGAGCGCAGGCCTGCTGAAGCCTCGTCGCCTCGCGGCTCGCGAGGTCGGCGAGGCGCCGCGCCGACTCCACCGGGAGGAATAAAACCTGCCTCAGCATCGCCGTCCAAGCGGCGACCTCAGCCGTCTCTGGTAGACGGTGAAAGCGAGAAAGACGCCCAGCAGCTGCGACGAGCTGCGACCTATGGGCGCCAGCAGGCGACCTACTGAGATCAGCCAGCACATTCTGAACCTTGCGCCACCAACAGGCGAGAGGGGACAACTTAGGAAACCTGGGAGGGTTGGGGGCAGACGGGGTTTTCCACTTAACCTGGAGCGGCCTGTCCCTCCCAACATACTCGTCACACTGGTCCCCGGAAATCTGAAACAGATACAGCCACTGACCTTCAGCAGCCCTGAGAAACGCGTCCCACTTATCCTGGGTCTGGAGCTCAGGATCCGAACAGAGCTCCACGACGTGGTCCCAGGGGTCAACCTCGGGAGGGGGCCCGAGACACCCAATGGGCAACTCGGTGGGGAACCTCTTAGGGACCTGCACGAAACGAACGCTACACAGGGGCTCGACCGACGGGAAGACGAGCCTCACAGGGAGGTGGGGAGAGATGGGGACGTTCTGAACAACTTCGGCCCTGGCCTGACCTGCAATCTGGCGCGAAACCACGAAGTCGTCGATGCAGCGCATGGCGGGCCTGCACGTGCCCTCCGTGGGCGCAACGATGACTGCGTCGAGAGCGTCAACCCACGACGTCTTGACCAAATCACTTGGAGTGCAATTCCAATCGCCACCGACAATGAAGGGCATGCCAGCAGCCTTGAGCCGAGCTCCCACACGCGAGAGAATCGCCCAGTTCTGCTCGTCGATGCCCACGGAGTGCACTAGGTACAAGTTAACGATGAGGAAGCCGCCGCGCAACATACCACCCACATGCAAAGCCGCTGCACGAGCGGCCGCAATCTGACTGTCGAAATTCTCGAGCGGCGCAATCCCCACACGAGCAACTGAAGCCGTGACCAGCCCTCCAGACGGATTGCCAGCTGTGGGAAGCGCAGCCGTAGCTGAAGCCGACCACCCCGCAGCACGCATCTTGGACTCACGAGCCTGAGAGGCAGCGGGCAGCATGCGGGACTCCTGCATCAAAAGAACATCACTGTAGATGGACTCCGACAGGTACGCGTCGAGGCCGACTTGCCCACCGACGTTGGCGGTGATGATCGACCAAACCTTCTGCGCCTTCCTGCTGAACAGAAGGCCGATCTGCCGCAACGGCAGGGGTACCGATCGGGTCGTCCAACGGAGTGCACTTAAACTTCTTCTGCGCAGCATCATTGAGCCCACCGACGATGTTGTCACACTGCTTGCGAGACAAGCCCTTGGACTGCAAGAACTTATCCCATCCTTCGTCAGTGGTGAGACGCTGCGAAAAGGACGAGAAATGAGCGGAAGCTTGCTGGCTGCCAACCGCTCCTTGTGCCGAGTCGCTTTTCCCGACAGCCCCCTTCGCCGCCCCCCCTCCAGACGGCGCAAGGGTGGCAGGCGCAGCGCCTGGCGCGAAGGGCGACCCTGCTGCACCGAGCGCGTCTCCTCCAAAGACGGCTGTGGCGGCGGCAGCAACGTCGAGGGACTGCGGCTCAGATTCAGGAGCGTCGCGCATGCCGTCGTCACTGTCACTGTCGGCCTCCTCACTGCCATCGTCCGCGGGGCGAAGCATACCATCACGAGTGGCAAGAAGAGAACGCAGCGAGCACGCAAGACCCTTGTCCATGGCCTCGAGCTGCAGCAACAAAGCGAAGGCAGGATCATCTGGCTGAACTTCTGCGAGACCGCCGCCAGGAGGCCGAGCCCGCACAGGACCGCTGCTGGCAGCAGCCCAGGCCGCAGTGGCCTTGGCCGCACAAGCGAGCTCGTGCGCCTGGACCTGCTCGAGCTTGGCCTTGAGCGCCACGAGCTCCAAAAACTTCTCCTGCACGTGACCCTCGAGCTTGTCGACCTTCTGCTGCACTTGCAACGCCTCGCGCTTGGCCTCGTCGTAAGCCATCTGGGCGAACTTGGCGACCGCCTTGGGGTCCCCCGCCGCCAAGGCCCTCTGGGCCAAGACCCTGGCCCGCTGCGAAGGGCCCAGGAGCGACTTGGAGGTCTCGAAGTCCGCATCGGACATCTTGACGAACACGGAGAGCTGAGAGGAATCGAGCAGCGGGATCTTGGGCTTGGCGTCCTTCTGCCGCGGTGGCCCGTGAGCCCAGTCCCCTTGCGGGGGCGGAGCTGGGCGAGTAGCGGGCATAGGAGGACGCTCAGCACCACATATGTAACAATACTTCTTGAACGCGAAGTTGTTCTTGAAGCCGCACTTCTTCTTGGGACAACACCAGACATCGCCGCCGCCGCGACTGGTACCTCCCATGAAAGCTTGAACCAGCAAAGGTGCTCCAACAGGAGCTCACAAAAAAAGGGAGCCTGCACAGGGCAGCGCGCGTGGACGGTGGGGGCCGCAAATCCCCCTCGCCAGTGAGGTCAAGTCCTGAGCCAGAGAAACGCTACGGACTTGAGCCAAAATGGCTACGGACCCCTCCTCCTCCTCCTCCTCCTCCTCCTCCTCCTCCTCCTCCTCCTCCTCCTCCTCCTCCTCCTCCTCCTCCTCCTCCCTCCTCCTCCCCTCTCCTCCTCCCCCTCCCCCTCCTCCCTCCTCCTCCTCCTCCTCCTCCTCCTCCTCCTCCTCCTCCTCCTCCTCCTCCTCGTCCTCCTCCCGGCCCCCGGGGAGAGGGTCGGGACTTCCGGGGACACCGCACCGAGGCAAGCGGTGCGCAGGGCATCTGGGTCCTCCTCCCTCGACGCTCCTCGGGTGGCCCTGCCTTCCAGGTAAGCCAGCAGTCCACCGGCATGGACCTTGGCCAGGCCCCCTCTGGGACCCGGATTTGTGTTCACAGCATGCTGTATTATCATTACGATTATCTTTCGTATGATTATTATTACGATTATTATTAGTATTAGTACTACTATTTTTGTGATTACTATTGTTAATATTAACGGAATTATTCGTATCATGATAATAACAAATGTCGTCACATCACCATCACCATCATCATCATCATCATCAACATCATCCTCATCCTCATCCTCATCCTCATCCTCATCATCATCGTCAACAGCCGGAGCGTCCCGGATCGGCGGCACTGGCCGGAGGCCACTACAATAAGTGTACTTATAATTATGCGTATGCTTATTATTCGTGCTATTGCTAGTATTGTTGTATGCGCAGGTTGGCATGAGGTGTGGGATGATCGTATTCGAAATCAGGCTCACTTCACGCTTCAGGTCTCTCGGCTCATGGAAGGGAGCATCGTCAAACACATCAGTCGACTTCGACAAAGTACAGCTGATCAGAGTCTCGAAGGTGACCTTGTCTGGCTGGATCCCGATGTTCTCCATGTCCTCGCGTAACAACAGCACTAGCTGCCACTGCCCAGCTTTTCCGCACGCTATGAGTTCGGAGTTGCAACTTATGAGGTTTGGCTCCACCTCCAGTTGCTGCATTTCACTGACTAATGCCACTGCCCTCTGCCATTGTCCTGACTCGCACGCGTGGATTGCAGCGTTGTAGCTGATGACGTCTGGCTCCATCTGCACCGTCCACAATTCGCTGAGCAATACCAGCGCCCGTTGCCACTGCCCTCCTTTCTCGCATGCGCTGATTCCGGCGTTGTAGCTGATGGTCGTCGCCTCCAGTCTCATCTCTCGCATCTCGCTGAGCAACGCTAGCGCCTGCAGCCACTGCCCAGACTTCTCGCACGCGCTGATTCCAGTGTTGTAGCTGACTAGTGTGAACCCGTGGATTAAATCCACGGTGTGCTGCACCTGGGACTCGCACACCGTGGGTGAACAGCTCATCGAAGTTGAACAGCTCGGGCGTCCCTGGGGCAGTGTCGGGACCGTCTTGGGGCCGTCGTGCCAGAGGGCACGAAGGGGGCCCCCAGAGGGCCCCAAGAGGGCTCCAAGAGGGCCCCAGGAGGCCGCCGGGCGCGTGCCCACCATTCTGCCACGAGAGGCCTTTCTGTAGCAGAATGCACCTGGCCCTGTCTTGGAGGGGCCCGAAGGCCCCAAGAGGGCCGCAAGAGCGCCCCCAGGGGGGCCCAGGAGGGCCCCAAACCGCATGTACTTCATATGCTTTTTGGGCTTGCGAGAGGGGCACCCAAGTATATGCGTCATGGGGTCTTGTCGGGGCCCTCTTGGGGCCCTCCTGGCCCCCTCTTGGGGCCCCTCGGGTGCACTTCCAACCTGTCCTGGCCCCATCTTGGGGCCGCCATGGGCGCCTGAGGAGCCGTCCTGGCGCAGTCTTGAGCCGTCTTGGGGCCCTCCTGGCAGCCTCCTGAGGCGTCTTGGGACGATCTTGAGGGCCTGTCTGGCCGTCTTGGACGCTTCGAACACGAAAAGCGCGGGAACTCCTGACATGTACGCTTTCCCGAAGGATTGGGACGATTTTTCCTTGTTCGGGCTCTCCTGGGGGTCTCTCTGGAGCCCTCTTGGAGCGTTTTGGTGTCCTCTTAGGCCGTCGGGCGGCTGTCGTGGGCGTCTTCGAGCGCTCGGGGCCCGTCTCGGAGGCCCGCTTGGGGGCCTCCGAGGGCTCCGAGCGCCTGCCCGCAGCAAGCCGAGCTGGGCCGAGCCGGGCCGATGACACCGGGCCCTCTTTAGGGCGAACCCGTGGACTTCGTCCACGTCATCTTGGGCCAGTCTTGGCTCGAAAAGGCCGTCTTGGGCCTGTCTTCGCTCGAAATGGCGAGAAGGTGGAAATCTTTCAGAAACCATAGAAGAATCAATGATTTCGTTTGCCGCGGCTCGTCTGGGGCGTCTTTGAGCGGTCTTGGGCCGTCTCGGAGGCCCTCTTGGACCGCTTCCTTCTTCTCGTCCGCCTTCCACTCTACCTCCGCCTAGACAGCCTTCGGAGCGTCACAGACGGCTATGGAGTTTCTGCGGTGTACATCTCGCCGCTTGTCAATCTTGAAAGCACCTGGGGCCTTGAAAAAAGTCACCCGGAGGGCTCTGGTAACTTTTTTCCGGTTGCCTCTTCGAGGCCTGATGGCGGGCGCTGCCGTCTCCTTGGAAACGGTTAGTAGGCCTCCCAGGGTTTCTTTTCGAGCTCCTGTTGGGGCCTCGTTGGCTGTCTTGCGGCCTCTTGGGGCCTCTTGGGGGCCTCTTGGGCCGTCTTGCGGCCTCCTGGGGGCCTTTTCTCTTGAAGTTTTTTTGGGCGCCCCTGGAGCCGTTGCCGGGCTGTCCCCCCGAGCCTCTTCCGGGAGGCAGCCCAGGAAATCTATTGTGCTTGCGTGCTATGCGTGCGTGCTCCTGTGTGAGAGGTCGGAGGGGTGTCCCGACGTCACCGCTCGCTCTTGGGAGCTGTGCCTGGGAGAGCTCTCTACGCTGCGTCTCGCTCTTGGGAGCCTTGGTGAGAAGAGCTTCGTACTTCACCGATCGCTCTTTTAGTGGGCGTCTCTGGGCCTGCTTGGTGGTCCTTGTGGGGGTCTTTTTCGGGCCATTGCTTTTTTTGGCTGCTCTGGGAGCGTTTTGGGACGTTTTGGGCCCTTTTTGGGCCGTCACGGGGCGTCCAGGAGGCCTTGGACCGTCTTGGAGCTCTCTTGAGGCTGCCTGAGGCCGTGTTGGGAGCCTCTTGGGGCCCCCTCGGAGCACTCTTGGGGTCGTCTTGGGGTTCTGTGAAGCCGTTTCAGGGCTCTCTGGCGTCGTCTTGGGGCTCTCGTGGGGGCCCTCGTGGGGGCGTCGTGGTGGCCTCCAGGGTTCTCTTCAACTATTCGTGCTCGAAAAAGCCCGTACCGAAAAAACCTTCAAAAACCAATGGAAAGTCAATGTTTTTTTGGCTCCTGGGGGCGTCCTCGGAGTCGCCTGGAGTGCCTCCGGGGCCACTCGGCTCCTTAAGGAACCCTGGGGGGGCCTGTTTGGGGCTCGCTCGGAGCTCTCGTGAACATGTCATGGGCGGCCCAGGGCCCTTGCGGGACCGCCGCAACGGTTCCAGGAACGCCGGCGACGGACCAGGGCCCCGGGAGCGCCGGGAGCGGCCCCGAGCCACTGCCGGTCACCTCGCACGCGCTGCGACCGGCATTGTAGTATAGACTAGGGCTGACCCGTGGACTTGCGTCCACGAGGGCTGATGTTGAAAATGGTCAGCCTGACATCATATTAGTTACCACAGATTAGCTTGAGGAGCTCTCCCAGCGATATACATCAACTGGGTCACGCAAGACTCCAGAGGCATAGAACTCGGCCAGGTGATCAGCACGCTCGTTCATGCATTGCCCAACGTGGCAAAACATATGGCGCACCAGTGGTTTCGCAACAGACGGGTTAAAAAAAAGCCTGCGCTCGCGCTCTTGCGAATTCCTAAGAAGGCCATCGTTTTCGTCATCACTTCGCCAACGTGCGACCGAAAGTGCCCCTGGCGCGCGTGCTGTCGCAAGGGCCCCTTGCAGAAAAAAACGGGGCCGAACGCGCGCGCGTCATCGCGCGCGCGTGCCAAAATACCTCAGAAGCCAAAAAGGTTTCGCGCGGGTTTCAAAATCGAATGCCCTGAACACATAAAACAACCAATGGTTGCGTCATGGGAATGTTCAAAGAAGCCTGCGCTCGTGCTCGTGCGAATTCTTGCCAAAACAATCGATTCGTCAATATGTTCATCAACTTATGCCAAACGTGCCTGTCGTGCGCGCGCGCGTCGAAATCATTCGAACGCCCTTGCGCGCGTGCGCGATCACTGTGACAGAATGCCAGGCGGGCCACTCTCGCGAGTGGACCGCGCGCGCATGCCGACCTTCCATACCTTGTTCGTCACCACTGCCAAGACATCAGCGGCAGACGCGATGAGGAAAGAAGCGATGCTGGCTTCGCCGTAACACCGCGCCCGCCGGAGACACCAACTCGCATTGAACCACGCTGGCGACTCTCTACGAGTGCGAGGCGTGGACGCTCGCGGCTAACTTAGAACATCGACCCTGGCGAACGCAACGACGAACGATTCGCGCGATTGTACGAGTGCCGCGGCGCACCTCCACAGCCACTCGTTCTCCGTCGGAAACGCTGGGGAGTGCCCCCGGCGGCAGGCGCCACCGAGGCCGCGTCGCTCGCGCCCGACTGGCCGGCCGCGCTGCGCGCGGGCCGCGCTCTGGCCGGCGCGGCCGCGGCGGTGCGCCAGCCAGCGCCGAGCTGCCATCGCAGTCGCCGCCGCGTGGGTTCTGCGGGCTGAATTGCGGCTGGGTGGGTGCGGTGATTGCGCGAGCTTGAGGGGTGGGCGCGCGCGAGGACATCAGAGTCAATTGCACCGCGTGGGCTGCGCCAGATGTGCTGCTACACGTAGATCGCATCACGTAGGTTGCGCGACAGGTACTGCACCACGCAAAATGCACAATATATACTCCGCGTCGTAGATTTTCCTCACTAAATGAAAATTATGGCCCCCCCGGGGTGCCCCCCCTTGGGAAATGCGCGGTTTAATTTGATTTTGCCCCGTACGTGGTACATGAACTCGTGCGGTTCCACCCGAACCGGCAGACCCCCCTTCGCCCTATGCAACAAATACCCTGAGCGCACACTTCTTCGTCGTCGAAAAATCTTGTCCCAAAGTCCCTTGCAAAAATCGGGGTGGAGAGCGCGCGAGCGTCGTCGTGTACGCGTCCCGAAATGCTTCAAAAACTGGAGATTCCGCGCAGATTTTGAAATCGAGCGGCCTGGAAACACATTTCGAAAACAATGATTTGGCAGCGCGATTTCTCACGGAAGCCCGCGCTCGCGCTCTTGCGACTTTTTTTCTCAAAAAAACAGCCATGGGTCCGTTTTCAACATGTTCATCAAATAACGTGCCTCCCGCGCGCGCATGCCGAAATCATGCGAACGCCCTCGCACGCGTGATCCCGCGGGAACCCCTTGCAAAAGGCGGAGCGACATGCGCGCGCGCGCGTCGTCGCGCGCGCGCATGCCGAAATCGAACCAAAACCTTGTCATCGTCAATCCATTGCCCTTGCCGTAAGCATTGTCATCCTCGTCGCCATCACCGCTGCTATCATCATCGTTAGGGGGCCACATGCGAACCCTACCCCTACCCCCCGAGCGAAGTGAACCCCACCCTCCCCCTCAGAAATCGTGGGGGGTAGGGGTAGGGTTCGCATGTGGCCCCCTAATCGTGTCTGTCGTGGCTGACGTCGCCACGATGCCGCGCCCGCCCGAATCGCCGACCCGCGCAGACGGCCCGCGCGCCGGCGTGGCCTGTGAGACGCGCTGGGAAGTCGCCACTGGGAAGCGCCATTGCGGCCGCATCGGTGGCGCCAAACATGTCCAAACATCGGCTACACGCAGGTCAGGGGGACGTAAGACCTGGGTACAGGGGACTCGGAAATCCCCGACGAGGTCGTCAAAAAAATGGCGAGGCCGAGCCTGCATTTTGACGAGGCCTCCCGCTGCAGACACCCCACGAAACTCCTCCTCGTCAAAATCCGAGGCGCGGTCGTCAAAAAACGGTGGCGAACCCGAGTCCCGGCAAACCCGGGTCTTACGCTCCCCCGAACAGGAGTGACCCTGGGTAAGAGTGACCTCTGGTGCGCGACTTTTCGGGGGCCGCGGGGGGACCAAACCTGGGCGCGCAAGCAGCTGCTACTGCCTCGCTTTGAGCCATCTGGGGACCCATCTGTGCCCGCACCAAAGGTCACTCCGGCGAAAGGTCACTCTTACGTCTAGTCGAAAACATGCTGGCCGCTCTGCGCGCGAGGGTTCGCGCGCCAGCGCCGCCGCAGAGCCGCGACGGCCAGCGACAAGCAGTCGCCGC